CTGAGCCTGTGTATTACCTCTTCCACACACCCACCACATGACCTCAGATCTCTTTCCATTTTTTATCACCCTTGGATGCTGAGAGGTCTCGTACCACATGAGTGTCTTGCACCACCAGAGCCTGGTGATGCTCATGTTGAGATGTGCTCTGAATTACTACAGACACAAAAGGAGCACTGTCCAGATGAAGACCTTTTCCTGCAGATTTTCCAAGCCTCTTTTCCAAACCTAGCACACTGTTGAGTTAATATATCAAAAAGAGGCACAATTCCTTCAGAGGTCCCAAATCTCAAAGCGCTTTTTCTTACCTTCCTGCTCTCCCTTCTTCCTAAAATCAAGACATAATACTTGCACTCTGAAGGCACAGATCACCCTGTTACCACAATGCAGAGAGGAGACATCCATTTTCAGGGAGAAATTTCGAGTTACAGTTTATTCCTTCATTTGAATTTTAATAGAAAACCTTCCCATTCAGTCCCAAGTGAAAAGCTACCATATGCATTTAAATTAAGATTATTTCCCCCCTCTCTTTAAGAAGGGTGACATAAATGTTTGAAGCTCTCCTCAGCTGCTCTGAACAAGCAGGTTCATCATGCAGTCACCTTACTGAGCTTTCAAAATCATGAATCCATGTTTAGAAAACCACCTGACACACAACACAGATCCTTCTTCCACACACACAGCCCTCTCTGTCCCTGTCCCCCCGCACTTCCAACATGTAGTTTTGAAAACCAGGGGCAAGGTTTTCACTTTGCTTTTGTGCAAAAAAATGAAGCCATTGCTTGGAGAAAGAGCTGAACATGAAACTCTGACATCCAGCTCAATAGAAAACTCTGTTGTCAGAGCTGAACATTTCTTCTATTGAAAATTGATTGCTTTTGACATGATGGTTTGGCAACAGTTTTAACCCAAATCCCTCACCTATTAATTGCTGAATGTTGGGAGGAAAACTAAGAGGGAAGAAGGAATTAAGAAACAAAAAATGTCTCTCATGCTTTTCTGGGAATATTCTCTAACAGCTGATATTGGGATAAAAGATGCAGAAAGGGTAGGTATGTTTATGGTACCAACCCATCATGTGATGGGAACTCCTCTTTAATCCCGTATCAATGGCCACCCAGACCAGTGCTTACCATGACAGCTGCTGCTGGGAGGTGACTTCCTACCTGGGTGAAAACAGGTTGAGAATGAATAACCTAGTGCACGTAGCCCACACAATAGCACTACAATAGTAGCTGCTTTACCAATCAGAGAAGAACTGAGACAGTTTGGGTTGTTCAGCATGGAGAAAGGAAAGCTCCAGGGAGACCTCATAGCAGCCTTCTAGTATATGAAGGAGGCCTACAGGAAAGCTGAGGAGTGTCTTTTTACTAGGACTTGTAGTGAGAGGACAAGGGTAATAGATCAAAACTGGAAGAAGGGAGATTTAGGTTACGTATTAGGAAGAAATTCTGTAGTGTGAGGGTGGTGAGATACTGGAACTGGTTGCCCAGGAAAGCTGTGGAAGCCCCATCCTTGGAAGTGTTCAAGGACAGGTTGGATGGACAGTGAACAACCTGATCTCCTCCCCCTCCATTCTGCCTTGGTGAGGCCACATCTGGAATATCGTGTCCAGTTCTGGGCCCCTCAGTTCAGGAAGGACAGGGAACTTTTTGAAAGAGTCCAGGGCAGAGCCACAAAGATGATGAAGGGAGTGGAACATCTCCCTTTGATAAAGAATGGGATGATGTTTATCTCTTGAACAGTGCAGCAACCGGCCTTTTGTGTGGCATTATCAATCCTGGGATACCAGGCTTTGTCTCACAGGTGCTGGAGAAGGTCCCTGTCACAGGTCAGATTGCCAAACAGGAGGGCTCTGCTTCCCACACCTCAAAAGCTGACACCCAGCTGATCTTTAAGTCCTGAAGATCTCTAGATTTGTTCACTGAAAGCTTCAATTCAATGGCATGACTGTACACTGCATGAAATAAAGCACACAGTTCACTGCCTACAGGATCAGTGCCTTCTTAATATTGTTGTTCTGCTGCCAATAGAACTGACTTATAGTCAAATTACAGGACAGATGCTAGAAAGTCCCCTCAGAGTTTAATGAGCCATGGGCTAAGTGACAGACTCATTTGCCTAAGCATCCCAGTCTGACTGGCATTGTCGTTTAGCCTATGAGAGCACCCAAATATGTCTTTGCCGTTTACAATGCATATCAGTGTATTATTGTGAAAAGAATGTCAGCCAAAGGCATTATATTTTTTCCTTGGCTTGGTGGAATATCAACAAAGTGTGTTAGGAAAAGCTGTGTTTATTTACATCTTGATCAGGTGCTATTCCAATACACTGAATGAGTCCTCTAAGAAGCCAGTAAAACTAGAGAAATGAAAATAATCACAGTTCCTATTACAGTATCAGAAAGTAACATTATTAGTTTAAGATAATACCTGCCCAGGAGCACCTGTAATCTAATGGAAACTTTTGCTTGCCTTGCAAACAAACAAAAAATTAGCTTAACAAGTTGTGCCATGAATATACAAGGATTACAGGGACATTTGTCCTATGTCTGTAAAAGTGTATTCTGAAGTATATTTAGTGTTTGCTTTGTTTAAAAAAAAAAATAATTAAAAATAGCCAGAAACAATGTTTTAAAAACAAATTAAATAAAATGTGAGAATTGAAACTAACACTGATTTCAGCTTATAGTGAAACTAATGTTGGATCACCCATAACATGGAAAAAATTACACCAGAAAAATGTTTTGAAATATCCAACTTCCAGAGGGAAAAGGATCAATTTGAGCAGTTTATGTGAGCAGTTACATAATTTTATCATGCAGAAATCATACTAATTTAGACTCCAGATGCATATATTTGCTATAATCAGCTATCTTGAAGAGTTCTTTATTACTCTGTGTTTCTTTAATCTTACTTTGTGCCCTGATTCATATGTCTTCAGCAATTGTACTTAGCAACAAGAAGTGGTTTATTCACAGAGAAAAAATGGTCATCTTATTCCCAAACCAACCAGCAGCTTAATTATCAAAATAATTCTGGTTATAGCTGGTCATTAACACCATAATTTTTTTGTGCACAACTGTCTATTTCACTATGCTGTAAAGCATTAATAGTCCATTGCACATTTATTTTCCCAATATGACAGAGGGCTGCAAGGACAGTAGGATTTCCTCCTGAGGACTGCTGGACAAATCATCTGCCCCTGTGATCAAAAGGGACTGAAAATGATCTCATTTAGTGGGAGCTCAGCCTAGGATGTCAGATGCCACAGCTCAGAACCCAACTGTTCAGAGGGAAATGGCAAAGTATCATCTGCCACCAGGTGGGAATGTGTGAGAAGTGAGGTTGCTTGAAGATACTATCAGGACCAGAGAAGAGGTCACAGTATCTCACAGGAGGATCTAATATGACCCAGAGCAAAACTCAACCTTAAGTTAAGCAGCTGCTTTCCATTACAAGGCTTTTGCACCTTCCCTGAATCATTATGATAACACTCTCAACTGGAAATTAGACTCTGGATTAGACAATTATTTCATACGTAGGAACAAAAATGCCTATGATTAAAGACTACCAATGTGGAAAAGAATCCAACCCAAGGAAGATTTTGACCCTCTATTCTCCAAAATATCTCATCCAGATTTACAAATATGTAAAGGGTGAGTGTCAGGACAATGGAGCCAAGTTTTTTTCAGTGACGTCTAGTGATAGGACAAGGAGCAATGGGTGCAAACTGGAGCACAGGAGGTTCCATGTGAACATCAGGAAGTACTTCTTTCCTGTGAGAATGACAGAGCCCTGGGACAGGCTGCCCAGAGAGGCTGTGGAGGCTCCTTCTCTGGGGACATTCAAACCCCCCTGGACATGTTCCTGTGTGATGTGCTCTAGGTCACCCTGCTCTGGCAGGGGGGTTGGGCTGGGTGATCTTTCCATGTCCCTTCCAACCCCTAAGATTCTGTGATTCTGTCAGCTAGTGCCAAGTGCCGCTGCCCATGGCAGGAGGATTGGAACTAGATGATCTTGAAGGTCCCTTCCAATCCAAACCATTCTATGCTTTGAGCTAAAAACCCAAAGCCCTTGTCCCACTCCTGATTTGCTTTCCTGCCATCTCCTCCGAGGCAGATAAACTGGCCATGACCCTTTGATGATCCTTGTAGACCAGAACTCCACCAGCACCACTGCTTGGCAAAGTATTGCTGTGTCTCATGCCAACATGACAAAAGGGTTTGTGGCTGAGCTTTCAAAGTTGTGATAAACCATTAATTATTCACAGTTGCCTTCATAAATATTGCACAGCATGTCTGCAGTAAAACTCAGCCTCCACACTGTTTACCATTTCCTTGCTGGTGAAAGGTAATGGAAAATGTAAGGGGGTCTAGTGAATCTGTAATAGGCTGAAATGGAGAGTGACAAGGAGGGAAAGGCGCCAGGAAATCTTCTGAACCTTTCTAGAGACTTGCTTATTTTCCTCTGCTCCCAAGCCTTTAATTGCACAGAATTACAGAATCACAAAATTATTTGGGTTGGAAGGAGCCTTTAAAGGTGCCCAACTTCTCTGCCTTGAGCAGGGACACCTTCACCAACATCAGGTTGCTCAGAGACCTGTCCTACCTGACCTTGAATGTTTCCAGGGATGGGGCAGCCACCACCTCTCTGGGCAACCTGTGCCAGTGTTTCAACACCCTCTTTTGTAAAAATTTCTTCTTTATATCTAGTATAAATCTTTCACTTGAAAATTATCACCTCTTGTTCCATCACTACAGGCCCTGCTGAAAAGTTTGTCCCCATATTTCCTCAAGGTCTCCTCCACAAGGGTTTTCCACAGAGAAGCTGCCAGCAGAGCCATGTGTAAAGTGACCTCACAGGGCATGTCAAGACCTTGGTTCCTACTTCATTCCTTCTGTGGACAAGGGCAGAGCAAGATGTGACTCAGACACGGCTTGTGCACCTGGATTTCCCTTCTATAGGTTCAATAGTAGGAGCAGGAGGAGGAAGATGGAAGGGAGACCTGTTGCAAATGTTCTGGGACCAGAAGAGATGCAGTCAGAGTATCCCACATCACCTGCACTGAGCCATGATACTCTCATTCAAAGCCAGAATAAAGGCAAACTTGCTTCAGCATCTGAATTGAAAAATGAAGGGAATTTTTTTTGGGGGGTTGAAAGACCGTGGCAATAATTACAGCAACAAAAAGAAGAAGTAAAAAAAAAATAATGTTCATTAGGATGATCATAAAATTCATTTCCATCTGCAACTAAATGCTTTGTTTCCCTTTTGGCTTATTGAACTCTCTGATGCAATTAGCATTTTTGGTCATGGATGAGCTCAAAACAAACTAACAGCAGTTTTAATTAGCAAGTTCTTGTCAGAAATGTGGAGAACTGTTCCAGCATCTCTAAACTAAGCTACCTTTTTTAAAGCACTGAAATGAAGTGCTCTGTGGAGTTAAAAATATCACCTCTTCCAATGCTTGCAGGAGAAGGGAAGCTGAGCCTATTGGCCCAACCTGACTCTGTTTTGCTTCAAGCCTTTTGAAAAACAGTTTTCCAGAGGATTTGCTATGCATCAGAAAGTGACATTTACTTCTCATGTGATGACTTTCCTTAGCTTTCAAACATCTTCCTTCCCTGAAAGCTGCCACCCACCCTTGCAGGATGCCAAGGATGCCTGCAATAACATCTGTACCCTCCTGGCAGACATCTCAGAGGAAGCCAAGCTGCTCCAACAGACACAGCTCGTGTTACAAAATCCTTGGACATGGGAGAGGGCGGGTGATGGGCAGGCTGCAGAGTGGCTGTGTTTTTTTCTGCCTAGCACAAAGGTATCGAGGTGTTCAGCAGAGAAAACCCTGTTGACTTCATGCTCATGCATGGCTGGGGTAGCTGGCAGCTGGGAAGCCAGCAAACAGAGGGAAAAGCTGTCACAGACAGACACGAGTGATCAAAATTGAACAGTAATTCCAAGGGTTGCAAAGGTGACATGTTGAAGTGTCAAAGAGCCCTTCTGTCTGCCTAGTGGGGGCTGTTTCTCAAGGTGTTTATTTGCCCCCAGCACCTGAGCTACACCAGAAAATGCAGATAATAGAGAAATTTCTGTAGCTCAAGGGGGAATCTAAGATATTTGGCTTCATTATCAGGCCCCTTTGCCATGAAAACTGCTTGGGCATGTGGGTAATTTCAGAAAAGACCTATTCCTTTGCAGGAGTTGAGAGCTTTTGATGGGAAGAAAGAGAACTTCTCATCTCAAATCTGCACAGATCTGCAGAGATGAAGGCCAGTCAATCCTTGCATGTCCCCAGCAAGGGGCCTTAGAGGAATAAGCTGGTCTCTTGGACAAGGAGTGTCAGTAGAAAGCTGGAGAGTGCAGCAAAAAAATACAAGTGGAGTGTTCTACATGTGCTGGGCTCCACACAACTCTTCCTTGGCAAAGTGACAGTCTCAGGCTGAACTTGCACCAGCAGCAGTGCAGAACCAGGCCCAGAGTCTGTCTGACTGCTTTGCAAGCTGATGTCCCAGACAGATGGTGCAGCAAGTCAATTTGGCAGCCCCAGCAGTCCCAGAAAAAGAGGAGCATGGCTGCTCTCTGAATGCCATTGGCACAACTCACTGCCTCCAGACAGCCTGCTGAGGGTGCCCACTCACAATGGGAATCCCTTCCCTCTTTCTTTTTGGACATATCTAACATTTGGAGCTGGAGATGCAAGAAATTCCAATTCCAGGACACTGCCTGCTGCAGTGAAGTGAGTGAAAGTTGTGTATGTGATCCTACCACTCACCATTACCTAGGGACTTGGGATTTCTCCAAAATCCACATGGCTAAGACCTCTCTCCAAATTTTCTACCCTCCAGATGATGTGCAGTTGCAGAAGGAAGCAATATAAAACAAACCAGGGTGTTGGTATTTATGGAGCTGAATCCCATGGAGAGCTGTGCACTCAGAGGAGCAACTTGGACTTATGTTTGGCCCTTATTTGAGGCTTGGGAGTGACCTGGGCTGAGCTGAGGGTAACAAAAGCTGCTGTGCCAACCACAGCTCTGACAGATGACCTTGCTGTCCTGAACTCATCCCTCCAAGCATGAGCACTGAGGTGAGATCCCACACTTACTCATCTGTGCAAGCATCCCTGCTGAAAGCAAACTGATGTTCCATCTTACTTGAACCATGGAGCATCCAAAGCAGTTGCGCTCTTGCACTGAACCCCAGTTGTATTTTACAGCTCACCCACAACCTGGCTGGTCAAATGGTCCCTCCTGATTTGGTGCTGCTGGGATGCAGCACCACTCCTCCTGACACTCAGAAGACCACCTAAAGTAAACACCCTTTCAATGCCACATCTTGCAGAAACATCTGCCACTGTTATGGTGGCCCAGTAAATGGGAATTTTTGTCCTTGCTAGCAGAAGGCTTTACAGTGACTCAAAACCACAGGGTCTCAGGATGGCTCTGAACTTTCCATGCCCTGACTTGTGGACTTATGGACTTGCCATAAGTGTTCCATGGCCAAGGACCTTGTGCCTGATCTTCCCACATGTCCAAGAGCTGTTGCCCCAGGCAGTCACTGCCCAGCAAACCCCAGTCCTTTGTGTGCCCAGGCTGGAGCTGGGCAGCTCTGCCATCAATGCTGGGGACCAGGAAGAAGGGAGCAGGTGATGGTGAGAGGGTGGGTGATAATACCCAAGAGTAAGGAAGAAGAATCCCCACCACAGACATCACACTCATCCTGCGGAAGACCTCAGAGTGGTGATGAGTAATGGCAACCCCAATGTTTCTGCTGTAGGACACTGATGACTTCAACTGGAGGTCCTGGAGGGATGCTGGTAGGATGAGCATCACACTCAGGAAAGTTAAGACACCAGAGAATCTTTAGGAGTTTTTTTCCTTTCTTAATTTTCTTCTTTTCTTTTTTTTTTTTTTTCCTTTCTCTTTTTTCTTCCATATATAGCATTTTTAACTATTCATGAGGATTTTCTGTAATAATTTGCACCACGACTGCATGTAACTGAACCTGGACTAATAATGTGGTGGATTATTACCAGATTGTTAAAACATTAATTAGACAAGCTATTTTTGCTCATAATGAGATTTTGAAAGGAAATGGAAGGAACAAATTGGTGAGCTCAGGACAGAAGAGAAGTGCTCAGAGGCTGAATATAACCAAGGACAATGGATAGATACAGCAAAGGAGACCAGGGCCTGAGGACTTTCTGGGCCAAGGATAAGTTCTCACAGGAGCTTACCATAAAGTAGTAGAGCTGTGAAGATCTGGCCATGAACTCTGGTTTGCACTCAGCCACACAGATTTCCACAAATCCAGCATGCTGGCTGGGCTTGGCCTCCCCCATCTCACATACTATCCTGTGAAGAAAATAAGAACCAAAAGCAAGGTTTGAAGGATGGTTTGGTGGTCTGGACAAGATGGAATTGGAGAAAAACAACCCACACTACTGGGAAATTGACTATACAATTAAGCCATCTTTTTCTTTCCAATCCAGGATTTAATTGTGGAGTAAGTTAAAGATGGCTTTGGGTGGTTGGTGCTTGATAGGGGAAATGCTCAGCTGGTGTAAGTCAAAGAATCATAGAATCATCAAAAAGTTTGGGTTGGATGGGACCTTAAACATCAATTAGTTCCAACTAACATAGGTCCCAAATCAACAGCTTCACTTCACTTCAATATACAGACAAATGCTGGGCTAAGGTAGGACCCCAGGAGTCCCTCTGTTCTCCAGCCCTGCATGATGGACAGGGTGCATGATGATTGGGTGTAAATTGGTGTAAATTGGAGCATAGGAGGTTCAAGGTGAATATCCAAAAAAAATTTTTTACTGTAAGAGTGACAGAGCACTGGAACAGACTGCCCAGGGAGGTTGTGGAGTCTCCCTCACTGGAGACATTCAAAACCCACCTGGATGAGTTCCTGTGTGATGTACTCTAGGTGACCCTGCTCTGGCAGGGGGGTTGAACTAGATGATCTCTCGAGGTCCCTTCCAGCCCCTAAGATTCTATGATTCTATGATTCTATGACAGCATTGCAGCTGTAAGGCTCAATGATTGCTCCATCATGGGATCAGCTGCTTCTCAGAACTGCTGCCCCACTAACTGGAATTGAACATCCTTCTGGTGGCTGGTATGTGAAGGATGAACATTAACTTTAGGGGATGTGCCATGAGGATTACCTAAATAAGCAACCCCAATGCCATAATAAATGGATCAGTATCTCCTGACCTGTGAGGAACGGCATCTTCCATTCCACACTTCCAAGGTTGGGTGAAATGGAGTCCTTGGAAGAGCTCCTATGTAGCAATGGTGGTTATTAGGTGTGCTGTGGCCCAGTGTCTGCCACACACCCAACTTACTGCTCTGCTGGGATGTACCCTTCCACCAGTGGTTTGCATTCCACTCCAGCCACTTTGACATGAGATGCAATATCTCTGAACTCCAGCCCCAGGTTCTCCCCACGGATGGTCACTTTGGTCCCTCCTTCACGAGGGCCTGTCACTGGATTGATCTGCAGAAACAAGCCAAGAAAGAAGACAGTAATCAAACCTATGTAAGAACATCAGTATTGTCTCAGGTGAAAGAAGGGACATATCAGTTCTCCTTGTGACCTCTAGAGATACTCATAATTATGAATGTTGAACAACTAAGGGAACAAATCTACTCCAGATACATCCTTAAGACCAGTCCCTTGCAGATATATATTTTATCACATCACACATGCTCCAACCTCAAGAGTACCCAAAAAAATCTGCCCCAAATTTCTTTTATTCTCTTTTGGCTACTTGCAAAGCATCCAGAGAGGAGGAGGACATGCTTATGGTAGGGCAGCTGAGCTCTGCACCTTATAGACATAATCCATAGAAAGGCAGGAGTGGGACATAGTGGAAAAAACAAGAAACAGACAGAAATGGCTTCAGCCAGTCACTTTAAATCCTAAAATTCCCAGCCCCAAGCACATGGATTTTTTTGATCAGTTCTGGAGGTAGATATTGGTCATGCACCACAAACTTAGCTGAAAATGTCCACCTGAAAAAAAAAAAAAAAGAGCTGAGATACAACAGAAATGGTGTGTCAGGTTAGGTATGGAGGAGGTCAGTGGTGACTGAGACAGCAGTAGCAGTTGCTGTGTGCTGGCACCTGTTTCTGAAGGAGCTCCAGCTGCCCTCATGGGAGAGATGGGACCAAGGGAAGGGAACATGGCAGCATGGATGGCTTCTCTGTGGCATGGGAAACTCTCACTGGGAAATCCCTGAGCCCTAGAGTGAGTTCAACAGTCATGATGCCATGATGTGAACATTCCAGTCTGGATCTTTGCCAAGCCATCAGAAGAGGGATCACTCCATCTTGCTCAGCAGTGACTGTGTTGGGCAGCAGAACCAAAACACCACCTGGACTGCAGATCTCACCTCTCCCTGCAGCTACAGAGCTTCACCCCACACGCAGAGCTGCCCATCTCTCTGCAATATTTCTGGCCCAAGCAAAGGGGATGTATACATGGAAAAGTCTTTTGTATAGCATCCCTCTCCCTTGTTCAGAGCCAGGTGGGAATCACCATTGGAGGTTTCTCCTCAATATTGAAACAACACAGAAATAATGGGGCTGGCCCTTAATTACCTCACTTCTACCCTTCCAGCTGCTCAGTGTGCCCAAATGCTTTGCTGTACAACTGGCCAGTTGAAAGGGGCTTCAGACGTTGCTTTCAAAGGGTTTTCCCTGCTGCCCATTCAGGATGCCATGGCCACCATCTGCCAGTGTTGGCAAGGTTCTCTGCAGAGTGAGGAAGGGGGAATTCCCTGTCTGAGGTCTGTACCCTCCAGCTGATGACTTTGCCAACTGGGAATCTAGAGCTGGCAGCTAGACCCTTGCACAGCAGTCAGACTGGCAGGGAAAGTTGAGGCACTGGCAGGAGCAGGGTTGCTTCTGACTGCTGCCCAGTGCTGAGTCTGGCATCAGGGTTAGACTCATTTGCACACAGGAGCCAATTTTTAGAAGGTCCATCTTTAATAAAAGGAGGGAGATCCTAGCATCTTTAGAGGATATTTTGGTTTAGGTCATTTAATTTTAGGTGCTGTGAACCACCTCCTGCATAAGCATTTCTTTGCTCTCACTAGACAGAGAACCAACAGAGGTTAACTAATTCATAGCACAGATGGTATGCCCCATCCCTGAAAGTATTCAAGGCCAGGTTGGATGGGGCTTGGAGCAACCTGGTCTAGTGAGAGGTGTCCCAACTCATGGCAGCAGGGTTGGAACTAGATGATCTTTAAGGTGCCTTCCAACCCAAACCATTCTGTGTATCACAGACAAGTTCTTGGATCTGTAGGGTTGTGTAGCATAGACATAATCTCTGCAGCACAGGGTTCCTGCAGTGGTCTGGTCTCAGGTCCAAGAACCAGACCAATTCCACTTCAACCAACAAAATCTGTACTGTGACAGTCTTATTCCTACTTTAAAAGTCAACAGGACACCTAAGTCCTGAAAATAATATAGCACAACATTCATAAACCTGACAGGTGAAGTGATTACTTGGGTTGGCTGGAGATGTGACCTTTGGATGGTCTGTGGTGATGAGATTGATAGACAAGAAAAAGATGGATGAGAAGAGAGAGACAGGTATTTGTGGTTATTCTCCAGAAAATGAGGAAAGTGTCTTAAAAAATGAGAATGAAAATGAAATTTTCTATTCCAGGAGAAACTAATACTGTTTGTCTCAGTTGAGGTCTCAACAATGAAAACTAACTATTTTCAAAAGATGGCAATTTCAATCTATATTTTATTCTGAATCACTAATAAATATCTCTTCAAGCACACTTTTCTGTTTGAGATACTTATTTTGCTGATGTCAGTTAATCCTCTCCTGATAAAACACTTCACATGAATGATGCTGGAAAGCTAGAATCTACCAAATACCAAATGAAATCTAATATGCATTCAAAATGATAAAAGAAAGGTAAGCTAAAATTCCCATCTTTTATTTTGTTTCCTGGTGTGTTAGACACACTTTATAAGAGAACCCGTTTCCCTGTGGAATGTTTTGTTTCTGTTTTGTGAATTAAATTTCCCATTAAACATTTCTTACTTGTTCTGGTAAGGTAGGTGTTTAGTAAGCTATTAATTACAGCTCACCTATGCTTGAAAGAGCTTTCTAGCATAGGTAGTACATCTCATAGCAGGTGAAAAGGGATATTATTCTCATGTGACTAATGTAGTTGCCCTGAATGAAAGAAGATATAGTGATGGAAAGGGAAATCTTACTAGAAAAGTCCTTCTCTTTAGAACTCAGAGTGAGTTTAAGACAAAAGTTTCACTGCAGAAGTAAAAAAAAAAAACCTTAATGGAAACATTTTCATCCTCCTTCCACCTCTGTCTAAAGCACAAGATTTTTAAAAGCTCTTGTGAGGACTCAAAAAGCACCAACAGGAAACTTCCTGTGGTGAAGGAAGCACAGGACCTCTAAACTTCTCCCTGTGCTATTTTTAATTTCTCAAATCCAGCTTCAAAACCTGTTTATTTCTTTCAAACAGGAGGGACTGGGATTTTTCCAGGAGCTTGTGGGAGATTTTTTCACCTCATGCCACCCCATGGAGCTCCCACAGGTGCGTACAAGAAGAAGGTGCTACTGTGCTGTTTATAGTGGGACAGAAGGACCTGCTTCTGTCACAGGTGCAAAAATGTGGAACCAGACCTGTCAGTACTGGCAAGGAAGATGCAGGCAGGGAAACAAAAGCTGCCAGGAAGTCTCAGCTTTCTCTTGAAGACTAGGAGCTGTGAGGCTGCGTCACAATTTACGCCCTCCGCTCATCTCAGCCTAATGCTGCAGCTTCTCACTCCTCAAGGAGGTTTTGTGGCTCAGTGAGTCTTTGAGTCCTTTAATTTCCCTGAGTGGCAATATCAACACAGAGCTCGTAAGTAAGTAAGGGTTATGGGAAGCTCTGTGCTGGGTGCATGTGTGTGCCTGTGCAAGTCTGAGTACACGTGTTGTTCCTTCTCCTCCCGCACAGACACTGCCCTGGCTCCTCGCCAGGTCATGCTCTTACCAACAGCTCCAGACCTACCATTAGCTGCAATATATGTTTGGTCACTTGAGATTCTTTTCATGCTAATGACTCAGAAAAAAAAAAGTCTTTCCAAGAGCTACTTATGATTGCACCAGGCAGTTTGGAATATTTCATGAGCGAATATTGCAATGATCTGTTTGAGCTTTGGGAGCTGCTGGAGGAAACGCCAGCAGAATAAGAATTACATCCCTTCTGGAGATGTAGGGTGGGGAGTGAATGCTTTGGACTTCATAAAGAGACCATAGATTCAGGGTCGGGGTCAAAACATGGCAAAGAAATGTGGATGGACCTTCAGAACATCATACTACTGCATGGTCTGGTCTCTGTGCTTTGGACTTCTGCTTTAGCTGGTCACCCCTCAGCTTCCCAATACCAAATTCTATGGATCTGTGTGAAACTTCTGAATCTTTCCTAATATTTGGGAATCTGAAAAGATTCAAAACATGTTTCCCCCAGCTCCCAGTAATTGTCAAGGCCCCAAGGCTGAACTTTCTGATGTAGCTGTTCCTTCTGGCTATCTGGGTTTGTTTTCACAGCTTCAGGTGGTTCAGGTGGGCTCAAAATTACCAGTCCCAGGTAAGTCAAAGTGCAGTGGAGTCTTCCACCTTGGAAACATCAGAAGGAGCCTGGCACTCTAGCAGTCCAACTGAATGACTACTTTGGATGATAGATGGGAACATATTAAGAGAAGTTCTTTTCAGTGGCATCTGGAAAAAACAGGTTCTATCCAGGCTTTGCTTTCACAAAGCTTTCCTGAATGGACATTGGTTTAGAGCTTGTCCATAACACCCACATTTTTTCATTCTCAACTAAATACAATTGGAAAAGCCTTTCATACTGTCTAAGGAAAAACCCCACTTAATTATTAATCTTAAACCCCAACTGTAGAGGCTGGATTTTTGTCCTTTACATTTTCCCTTGTCTTCTCTGTCTCATTTTCCTCCTTACTTTTCTCACAAAGTAAAGCCCTAGCCACCCTAAAAGGGTGCTCATGTTAACCAAGGTGTGGTTGTTGCGAAATACTCAAGGCAGGAGGCAGCTGGTAAGGATGGAGCTCTCTTTTTCAAGGCTCAGCTCTGTCCTGCTGCCTACCCTGTGACCATGAAACTGGTTCCTGTCTTTATGGCAAAAGCATCCTAAGGCAACAGACAAAAAATACTTTAGACTGGAAGCCTGATTTCCCTCCTTTGCATTTTTTCCCTTCTTTTGCTTCCTCTGTCTGTGATTTTCTACTGGTTTATCTCCTCTTTGTACTTTTGCCCCAGCTCTTCCTTAGGCCCAGTCAACATATTTAATAGGAAACCTTCCAAATGGCACCTTCATGCTGCAGATCCTTCCTCCCAAACTTGCCCTCATTCTCTGTTTATCATTAAATAGGACAGTTCCAAGCTTAATTTAGTCCAGGTTTGATCCTGTCTCCTCTTTGAGCCTTCAAAGGGGGACGCTGAAAACTGCCCAGGACTTGGTTTGCTCTGTGAAGACCTCTTTTCCCATGCAACATCACCCTGGCAAACAGAAGACTTTTACTCTGCTGGAGACAGTGGAGTCTTGTGGGGTTTTTGGACACTGACTTTGTCCATGTCATGCTGTTGAGAAGCATGAACTACAACCTGCCCTCTTCCTTAACATCCTGTCAGCAAAGCTCAAAACACTCTGGGATCACTCAACATCTTTATCTCAGCCGGGCTGGCTTCAAGAGACAGTTGGGCTCATTTCATTACCCTCATACCATCCATTTGAGATGGCCCAGAGCATCTTGTCTCACCTTGAGTACTTCCTAAAAGCTTCGTGTCACATCTGCCAGCTCTATGTGGGCAGGTCAGAAGTTCCAAGGTTCCTCAGATTGCACTAGCAGACTGTCTAATGTCAACAGGTCCATGTCCACATTGACTATGATGGGAACCCTGACACCCTGCTCATCCCTGTGTTGTAGACACCTACAGTTGTGTGCCTACCTTTGAAGGCCACCATGGCTTCCCATCCCCAAGGATGTCTGGAGCTTTACCTGACCCAGCAGAGCTCAGCTCTGACCTCCACTCACCACCACAAAGATAAATCAGGAAAACAACCCAAGGAAAAGCTACAAGAGGGAAACACCCCAACTTCTTGCAGATCCATGACTTACGTCCGTGATCTTGGGGTTGGTGCACTTGCCCTTGGTGCTGGATAACTCCAGCCACTGGCTGTCCTGGGCTGGGCAGTGCTGCTTCAGAGTGCACTGGTTCTGTCCCTCACACCAACCACACTCGAAGTCCGGGTCGGCCTTGAGGCAGAGTCCGCAGCTGTCCCGCATGGCCCCGCACTTGTACAGCTGAACTGCAGGGACAGGAAAACAGAGAGGTCCTGAGAGATGCAGACAGCACGCAACAGGGGTGGCATGGCAGAAGGCTGAATGAAGAGTGAGAGACAGGAAGGTGTTCCAGGCTGCTCATCCCACAGGCAGGATGGGACCTCTCCAAGGAGGGGGTAAGTAACCAGGGAAAAAAATGTTTACATCCTTCTGGAGATGAACTGAACTTGTCAGAGTCCATCCCACTTGAAGATGTTTTTTCAAAGCTGGGAGAAGAAGAAAGGATGCTGCTCTTGGAAGGGTGGGGGGTTACCAGCAGGAGGCTGGGGGAAAAGGTGCTTGGGCAGTCTCCTGATCACAGTCCTTTTACCTTTTTTTCCAGGGATGCTTTGGCTGTCACACAGTGCCACCTACAACCAGTCTCAGCCTCAGCTCTTCACCCTAAAATTATTTTCTAGACCTATTCTACCCACAGCTTAAACTGGAGGATTTTGCTGGTAAGAAACTACCCAGAACTGGAAGCTAATTTGATGCCAGTCAGATTTCCTCCTTAACAGAAATCCTAGCAGATAGTAGTAAATCCACTATGATTCACTATGAGGCTGAATCCAGGGACTCACAATCAGTCTTTCTCTCTTTTCCTGCTCCAGAAATCCAGTTTACTTTACACTTGGACATACTATGTTGATCATCCTCTTATACAGACAGAAATTATGTTTATCTCTGTCTTGGGCTGCTAAGTCATTAGAAGCAGTCAAAGCTTTTTTTTTTCCCATATGAAGCCCGAACACATTGTGGTCTCCTACAAAATAAGATCCTATTATTTATCTTTCATTTCCAGGTGTGCAAACTGAGGCCTGGGTTGCATGTGGCTGACAACAAGTCTCCTCTCTGAGGATGAAGACAGTGGAATTGAGGCTTGCTTTTTTTTTCTGTATGTGTGGGTGTGTTGGTGGATTTCTTACATGACGGGGGATTTTCTCTTTGTGCTTTTGTTTTGCTGCATCAGTAGGTGACCAAAGTCTTGTCTGTAGTTATTACTGTACATGATCCCAAAGATCAAAGGCTTTGGATGTGTGTGCTGAAAAGCTCTGACTGTCTTTTCATACCTGCACCCCAGAAGGGAGCTAGTATTGACCAACACAGTGAAAAGCTCAGAAACTTTTTATTACTTCAAGCCGGGTGCAAGAAAATCTTGCAAAGTGGTTGTCAGTCACAGTGACCTTCAAGCCTCCTGGAATACAGCCCTTTTTCACAGAATCACAGAATCTTAGGGGTTGGAAGGACCTGGAAAGATCATCCAGCCCACCCCCCCTGCCAGAGCAGGGTCACCCAGAGCACATGACACAGGAACGTCTCCAGCAAAGGAGACTCCACAACCTCTCTGTGCAGCCTGTCCCAGGGCTCTATCACTGAAAGAAGTTTCTTCTGATGTTTATGTGGAACCTCCTGTGTTCCAGTTTGCACTCATTGCCCCTTGTCCTATCACTGGACATCACTGAACAAAGCCTGGCTCTGTCCTCCTGACACTGCCCTTAATGTATTTGTAAACATTGATGAGGTCACCCCTCAGTCCCCTCTTCTCCAAGCTCAACAGACCCAGCTCCCTCAGCCTTTCCTCATCAGGGAGATGTTCCACTCTCTCCATCATCTTCATGGCTCTGCCCTGGGCTCTTTCAAGCAGTTCCCTGTCCTTCTGGAACTGAGGGGCCCAGAACTTTTCTTAACTTTCTGTTAGATTTCCTTTAATTTGCTGAGATGCTCTGCTTACAATGCTACCAGTGAGTAACTTTGCAGGCCTTTCGTTAGGTTGGGTTTAGTTCAGCCTTTCAGCCAACCAGGCCAGCCCATGTGGTGCTGGCCATGAAAGCAGGGGCATCTTGGTGGCTTGAAGGCAGCACACCCCAGTGCAACTGCACTTAGAAAGACACTGTCTAATTCTGCTTCTGCCTCTCCCCCTCAGATTTCCAGAGAAGAATGTCTGCATGTTTACAGCACTGTGCAGAGACCTGGCAGGGGTTTGTGTTTGCTTGTAGACACTACATTTATACTACTAAATAAAGCTCTCTCTCGTGGTGTGCTTCCATGTGGTATATCCATGTGCAGATGCCTGAGCACTCCTCATGACCGACAACATGATGGCATCATCCAAACTAGTAAGCTGGGATAGCTACAGCCAGCACCACTTTCTAAGTTTTTCCTAGTAATTACTTATAACCTTTTGGGTTTGAATAACCCAAGAACTTGTAAGGGGCTGTCCTAAAGACTAAGCACCACAGATGTTTCTTGAGTTCATTCCATGGTCTGGTTTACGTTACTAAAAACACAATCATCTTGGTTTTGAGACTGATTCTTACCCCTCATAGGACAGCTCAGTATTGATTAAAAAAGGGTTCATACTTTTTGTGCAGACCATGTTGCACCAGGAAAGCCAAAAAGTCAGGAGGATCAGTGCAAATGGCCCAAGCCAGATCTCAAACATACAGTGTTAGAGGCTTGGACAGTCCATGGCACTGTTTGGGCATCATCCCATGGATGGATTTAACCTCCAAGACCCACAGTTTTGGGGATGAATGCAGGACCTTTTGCAATCAGACTGGGTATTAAAACCTGCTGGTTATTCGAGACAGCAGAGAAAGACATCACAGAGGTGGATACAGGGAGAGAAGGACAAGAAGGGGTCATGACACAGGGAGAAGTGTTGCCTTCATTATTGCTCTCCAGCTTCAACGTGGTGTTGGTGGAAGCTTTATCAGCCACCCCTCAGCATGAGGGTGGGTGTGAAATGGTGTGAGAGGAGCATAGGAATAGCTGGTGGGGAGAGATGGAGTGGCAGAAGATGTGGAAAGTGTCCAAGAAAAAGACAGTAAAGCAAGGCAGAGTGAAACTTCTGAGAGATGGTGGTTTAACAATTGGGCTTGATGATCTAAAGACTTTCCCAACCAAGGCAATTCTATGATGTGAGGAGAATCAACAGGTCTGAGCTGTAAATGCAGAGCAGACAAGAGGAGAGGATGCCTGAGGAAAAAACCTCAGAGTAGCTGAGGGTGATGGACAGGAAGGAAGAAGATGAGAATGGACCATCCATCTCCAACAAAGATGCCTGCCTCAAGGCCACGGCTGGAACAGCAATATTCCTCTGTGAGGGCTGCATCAATCCTATGCCATCAGTGGCAGCAAAACAGAGCCAGGCTCTGGGCAGGGGGTGGCTTTCTGTCCTTTGTCATTATCATTTTATTTTGTTGAGTCTTTTCCCAGGGTGAGCTGCAGCCCTTCTCCTCCCCCTCTCCCTTTCCCTCTTCATTACCACATCACCTCTCAGTAGAGAGCTCCCAGTCTCCTGGCATGTTAACTTGAAGAGCATCACTGCAGGAGAAATGAAACTGGGGAGAAAGCTGGAGAAAGAAGGGCATAAAAACAAGACACAAAAATGGGGGAAGAAGTAGGGGGCAAAGATGATTAAGGAAGAGGGAAAGCAGCACAAGTGGGAGGGAGAGTTGTATTTCTCAGGTGCCAATAGAAAAGGGGGAGAGAACACAAAGCACACACACAAAAAATTGGTAATTTGCAGAGTGGAGAGAACAAGTGAGCACCAGACAGCACAGGGAGATGGTAGCAGCTTTGTTAAGTGTAGGGAGTGATGTGGCCCGTTGCTAAGGTTACCACTTCCAAGGACAAGTTGAAATAACTCTTTACCTTTGTTCTGTGCTGGGTTGTCAATGTTGAAATTCCCGTTCCACACGACCGTCAGCTCCACTGGCAGGCTGTTAATCTCCATCCCTTCATAGGAATACTAAAAGTGGGAGAGAAAAAAGATAAATAAGCCCAAACCCAGACTTACATGGTGGGCAGAAGTGAATCATGGAATGTCCGTTTGGAAGGGACCTCAAGGGTCATCTGGTCCAATCTTTCTAGGTGATAATATAGGTTAAATTAACTGGCCTAGCACCTTGTCAAGTTGAGTCTGAAAACTGTAGAGGAATCCACCACTTCCTTTGGGAGATTGTTCCAATGTCTAACTGTTGTCATGGTGAAAAATTTTCAAGTCCAATCAGAATCTCCCCAGGAGTAACTAGTACCTATTACCCCTTGTCTTTTCCATGTGACTCCTAAAAGGGGAGTCCCTATCTTCGTGGTAGGCACCTTTTATGTACTGGCACATGGTAATGAAGTCTCCTCCCCTAAGCCTTCTCTTCTCAAGGCTGAACAAACCCAGTTCTCTCAGCCTTTCCTCATATGGCAGGTTCTCCAGTCCTCTGAATGGGGAGGGGATGGGATGAGACAAGTCAACAGGTGATGCCACAAGTTGTGAGCAAACCAAACCTACCTCCCTAGTCACCATTACCTATGGGATGATCTCAAGTTGTGATTCTCAATGGAGCAAGACATGCTCCTTGAAATAGTCTACTTGGATGTGAGGTGAATATTCAATTATGTGAGTGTATTTGCATGTGATGGGCCTTATCTTGGACATCTACATTCTAAGTTTTGAGCACAGATCTTAAGAATATTTTACCAGCTCCTGGCTGGACCTCTAAGATGTACAATATCATTGTGTGTTCACCCACATCTCTGCTGTGTACTCCATGGACACTGCATGTACATGTAAGATTATCTAAACTAAAGATGTTTTGAAGAACTCTTGGAAGCTGAATGAGGTCTCAGAAAGCAGGGAACAGGCATATCCCAGAAGTACCTTTAAAAAGGGGAAAATTGAGGTTCTTTGTAATTATAGACCTGTCATCCTAACTTGGTTTCTCAGAGAGAAAGTAGATCAAATTATTAAACAATCCATTTATAAGCACCTGAAAGATGATAAGGTGATAAAAATCAGCCAGCATAGATTTGTCAAGAACAAATTGTGTCAACCCAATCTAATTTCTGGTTTTGACAGGCTTAATGACTTTGTGGGTAAAGGGGAGACAGCAGATGTGATTTATCTTTATTTCAGTAGAGTATTTGCTACTGTCCTACTGGAGATTCCCATAATCAAGCTGGGGAAATATGATCTTAAAGAATAAGATACATGCAGAAGCTGTCAAAAAAAAACACAACAAAAATGAAGATAAATCAATGTCAGGCTGGAGGATGTTTCAAGTGGAGTATTGTCCTGGGTCTGGAATTATTCAGTATTTTTGCTCCTTACTTGGGTGATAGATGTTGTGAATAGATTCTGTGAATGACATTGGTCTGGGAGAGGGTGCAAGAATGTTCAAAAGCAGGGTCAAGAATTCAAAACAAACTTGACAGATTGTAGAACTGGGCCAAAATCATCAAAGCAAAGTTCAATACCGGCAAGTACCAAGTATTCCTCAGTAGGAGGAATCAATGCAAACAAATATGAGATTGGAGTGACCAGCCAGTGCTGTAGGAAAGGGTCTGGGGACCACAGAAGGCCACAAAGTGTGACTCAGCAATGCCATGCAGTGCTGCCCAAACAACAATCAAATCTCATTTGGGGATGTACTAGGCAAAGTTTGTTACTTATGGAAGACCCAGGAGGCAATTCTTTTTTCCTACTCAGAACATAAAAGCTTCAGCTGGAGCAGGGGGTGTCCAGTGTGCAACACACACGTATTGAGAAAGCCATAAAGATCTTCTGAGAGAGTTGGACAGACTTAAACAAACAGTTGTCAGGCACAAAGTACATAGATCTGGCCTTAATGAAGGAAATAGGAGCTGATCTCTGGATCAGCTGGAGGATCACCTCCTACTGGAGGCCCCCTCCACTAAGAGACCTCAGTGCTTGGTGTGTTTTTTCAGCTAGATTATGGTTTATCATGCACCAATTCACACAGGGTTCACCCAGTTGCCTCTCAGGTCCCACTGGCCACCTCCAACAACAGCTTCCATCCACCCCTTCATCAAAATGCAAAAAAGCCTTGTAATGGGAGAGGAGATTGTTGCTTAAAGGAGAGAATGGGAACAAGGCAAGAATGGATGAGACATTTCATTTCACTGACCATAGCACAGATAAGGATTTACCCTCGTCTGTTACATTATTACTGACCATAGCACAGATAAGGATTTACCCTCCTGACACAAGGAATCTCCCATGGTACTGAAATCTATAGCAGGACAAATTCCCAGTATAAATTAAGTTTTTTAAAAAGTTTTCCCCACTACAAGATTAAATACAATTTAATAAGCTGTCTGGTTTGGTTGGGTATCTCTTAGAGACCACTAAAGAGCTCCCCATCACTTAAAGTCTCAGTGTGGTTTTCCACAGAGATGCCAAAGCCCTGAGCCTTTAGAGAGAGGTTTTTTCTGCATCCCTTAATTGCTGTAAAATTGCTGAATAAATAATATATGGTGATTTCTGTCTGTTCCAGCAGAGTGAGTGCTAGTGGCACAGCAATTTCTCTCTGGACAAACTAAACACAATTTTCCATTAATCTGCAAGACCCTGTGATTACAATCTAGTTATAGGGTATTTATGGGTATAAGCTTTGTGGTTACCATGGAAGTAAAGAGCAGCAGCAGGTTAGAAGAGACCTTTGCACCACTAGGGCTGTACCCTCCAGTCTCATGCAATATTAGCATTTTGGTGACAAGTCTCAGTGTCACTACCAGCAAGATACAAGATGATGCCGACCTGCTTGGACTCACAACACTGGCTTTTCACAGCTTTTTGGAGCTAGAAGGAAGGATGAGGAGACAGGAGTGGGAAGGAGAGTGTCTGAAAAGTGGAGAATAATTCATCTTCTGCCACTCAGAAGCTTTGCAAACACTTGCTTTGCACAAGGCTCAACAAATTGGTTGGGAAAGGGAAAGAGTGAATACACAGAACCACTGGTCACCCTTGGGTCAGAGGTTGAGTCTGTAGGTGCCTGAGAAAGTGCTACTTTCTGCTTCAGCAGAGCCTCATGTGTGTGTGTTGGGATTTAACTGGTAGCAGAGCCCAGACAGGGCTGCCAAGGGACAAGCAGCTGGAGTCCCCCAGAGCTTCTCATCCCACTGAGGCTCCCAGCACCAGCAGCAGGAGCCCAGCTGGGATTTTAGATCTTATCTGTCTGCGGTAACGGGGGCAAGCACATATTAGGCTTGTTAACTCAGCAGACTTGATCCAGAACTGGAACAGGATGTGAGGGAATAAACAACAGGATCCCCATGGAACAGCTCCAGGGATGAAGCCAGCTGGGAGCTGGAATGAGGATGCTCTCTGTGCCTTGCCCCAGCAGACAGCCCGTGGGCTGCATGGCAGCGAAACAGAGTGATTTGCAAAGTAACAGAGAGAAAATGCTCCATCCCCTTCAGACCACAGGAGCTGCTAACTCATTGTGACCCCTCTTCAAAGCCCACTGAACTCCACAGGAGCCTTTGAAAAGGATTCACTCAGCTGTAACAATAAGATGGAAATATGTTGCAGAGAAGGAAAGAGGGATGGGGCATCCAGGACTAACACTAGAGCTTCCCAAGTACTCCTGCTAAGTCCACTCACACCCTTAGGGCTTGGATGTACACATTGCCTGGCACAGGCAAAACTGCTGAAAAGATGTAAATCTGACCCCTAAGCTTACAAAATCTGGATTCCCACCATGCAAACTAAATCAGAGCAGAAAATTACAGGTAAATTAGAGGCCCAAACTGAGAACGAGAGGCCGGCCTTCCAGAAAGACAGACTGGCTCTCATCAGGAAATGCCAAAAAGCTGCTAGAGTGATCTTTTGTAATTCATGGGAACAGTACAGTGTATTATGATCCCCCAGGTACCAGCTCTTTGTGCCTTAAACTCGTCACTAGTGTCAGATACTCCTGCAGCATGGGCTGAGCCCACCACATCACTTGGACATTTTACCACGTTGTTGGTGGCTTAACATACTGTGAACACATTGACTGTCTACTGGAAGTTCATTATCCTCAGGCCAAGAGGATGGCCGCAAAATCACAGCTCTCAGTTCTGCAGCAGCCAGGAAAACATCAGCTGCCTACATGGGAAGATAAATTACATTTCAGAAGACTGGAAATTCCTTGCTCCTCTGGGCACCCTGTTAATATGGGCACCCTGTGTTGGAGGAACTCAGCTTTACAGAGCACTGGGCTGTGAGGTCTCTCCAAATCCACAGCCATGCTTAACTTCTTGTTGCTTCCTGCTGGGATGTTGAATCTCTGGGTAAAGCCCTTTGGTAGTTTGGCTTGAGCACATGCAGGATGATAAATCAAGAATGGTTATATGATATTTCCCCCTTGTACCTTGAGAGTGTCCAATAACAGGGAAATATCTACAGACAAACAGCATTTTAGTAGGATTTTAATGTTACTCTTTTTTCCCTGATGGCACAAAAAACAAATTTTGTGATTAAAGTTTGGGGTTGGGGATTGATTCCTGTATCTGGGTCTGCCACCAGCTCCTTGTGGGATCCTGTAGATATAATTTAAACCCTCCTTGCACCAATTTTCCAGCCATAAACTGCAGGCACAAAACTTGCTCACAGTCATCTCATCCCCTTGGACTCTGCTTCCCAGAGCTGGGACTGAATTTTTATGTCTGGATGTTACCCAGGACAACAGGGCCCACATAATGACTTGGGTTTCTCTGTGACATTTGAACATAGATGAGTAATAATCATGCATCACAATAACTGAGTTGTATGTACATCTCACAGCCCTGTGCTTGTCTTCTTTTGGCCATGTGTGTTTTTCCATGATTTCTGTGAATAGCTCTTCTTTTTTTTTTTTTCCAGCTTTGTGATTTGGGGGTTTTGTTTGTTTGTGGGGTTTTTGTTTGTTTTGATCACTCCCTCCACTGTGTAAACCACACCAGAGTCAAATGCTGCTGAGATCTTTTGCTCAAGAGCAATGATGAGATAAATACAACATGTTTTCTTTCCCTATCCCTATGTGACCCAGCACATCCAGCTGTACCACCTCGGATCTCACGACACACAGACTTGTGAAGGACTCAAGCCAAAGCATCAGCAGGGATTTTGCTGCTACAAATCAGTGTGTGCTGCCTGTGTATGCCAAGGCCACGCAGTGGGCAGGTTCACACCAAGCAGCCATGTGGGTTCAGTCACTGGAGCAGGTAATGGCAATGATCACAACATGAAAAGGGGGATCATCACTCCCCCACCTCCCTACTCCCCATGCTGAAGGCTGCAAATATTGGGCTTATTGCAAGTGCTGGGGATCTTACTGCTTCCCACTGGGGAGATGGCTCTCTGTCCTAATAGATAGAGCAATTTCAGCCATTTCTGAAGATGTTTTTACTTACTTATTTATATGCCTTTTCAGCTCTCGTCCTTTTCATTTCCTCCCATCACTCTGTGTCCAGACTGTCAGCAGAACTATCATAAGTGCAATAAGGAATGGCAGGCAGGGTCTCTCAGAGTGATAATTGCTTGCCTTGGGTGGTGTGATAGAGGACAAAGCCCAGAGCTGAGAGTCTCAAACCACTTGACAAGAACAATAATTGCCCCAAAGCGTGCTGCCTGCAGTGACTTATTGCTGTTATCAAATGAAATATCTCCAGGAAAGACAGGGGGAGAGATGGAGGTGGCTATTGACTGGACCAAGTACCAAGGTACCATCAGTGCTGGATGTGACATTACTGACAGACAGTCAGATAGGCTGGTCCTGTGTGGGTGTCCTTATAACATCTCTTATCTGAAACTGAAGTCACTTAGAAAAGCATCTGATGGTTCTGATCTCAGCTACCCTGGTTCTGAGGGTCCAGGCAGTGAAAAGCAGGAGTTAAGGTTTTTTTTTGGTCCTGATCCCATCCTATGTGAAAGCAAGAAAACTCCTACATTTTGCAGAAGTTACTCTGCAAGAGATGTATTTGAGCTTATCAGTGCCTGGTTTTTGATGGAAGGGGCTACATCTTGAGGCTTATGGAGAAAAACAAGCCAAGAATGATTGCTTAGTCTAGCATGCATCACCAGAAAGATCTGCTGGCAGGATAGCTTCCCTTCAGGGACACACCATCACAACACATCATCCCACCCTCCTTTGGACCTTCTCCAAGTCTGCAATGCAGGTGCTACATTCAGCATCTCATCCAGCGACTCTGCTGAGAAAAAAAAAGCTCTATCAAAGGGAGCTGATTCAATTTGCAAACAAGCTCATATGGCTGTTTCTAAAGCCAGGTGACCCTTGGAGCAGAGGCTCATTGTATGGCAGTGGCTTCAGACTGAATACTAATTTTGGCAGGAAGGGAAATAATCCTGATGGAGACATATCTACAGCACTCCTTCCCTATTGTCTGTGTCCTCTGCCACCTGCTCAAACAGAGCCAGGGCTTCTCTGTTCCCTTTTTGTATCTGTGTGAATGTTTCTTTCTTTTGTCTGGCTCTTCCTTCCACATCTTTTTCTCTCAGTGTCTGGCAAATTCAGAGTAACAATGAAACATTTCTCAGAAAAAAAAAGAAAAAAAAAGAAGAAGAAAAACAACAAAAAACATTAGGAAGAGAGAGTCAAAGTGTTTTCAAAAGAAAAAAGGAAGAAAAGGGGAAAAAAAGAGAGAGGGAGAGGGAAAGGCAGATAGAGAGAGGAGGCAGAAAACAGGAAATAGAAATGAGTTTATTCCACAACAAGCCTCTGTCCCTGAAGATGAGAGAGAACCACCTGAGACACCACCCAACATGGGACAGGTGTCCTACAGACACCACCCAGCAGGCAGGTTTTGGAGAGCCTTGGCATCAGCCTGAGACTCAGCCCTGCCACCCTGCACGGCTCAGGAGAAGACTTGAGTGTTCTGGCATCAAAACAAACAGTAAAATCAACATGGTGTTGTACCAGCACCCGGGCACACCGTGAGCAACTGCATCTGGGCATTCACTGAAGCCCACTTCCCTGGCCCTAAGCACTAGCAACTTCTTGGAGCATGCAGGTAGTATGAGGGTAGTAATCACTACCTCTCAAAAGCAGGCTCATTTATTGGATACCACAAACTCAGATGCAGAGAAGACCCTCCAGGACTGCTGAGACAGCCAGTGTCCCACTCAGTGTAACTGTGCTGAAGGTCATCCTGAGTTCTCTCAAGCTGGTGCCTGTTTTTACAAGACTATGGAGCATAAGGATGAGGAGGAACAGTCTCAAACTGGAAGAGGGGATATTTAGATGAGACATTAGGAAGAAATTCTTCACTGTGAGGGTGGTGAGACACTGGCCCAGGTTGCCCAGAGAAGCTGTGGATGCACCATCCCTGGAAGTCTTCATGGCTAGGCTGGATGAGGCTTGGAGCAGCCTGGTCTAGTGGAGGGTGTCCCTGCCTATGACAAGGAGGTTAGGACTGGATGAGCTTTAAAGTCCATTTAACTCAAATCTTTCTATGATTTTATGTGTGCCAGAAAATTCATTATTCTAAAGGGTGGCTGCTGTCTTCACTGCTGAATTTTTTGGACATATCCATAAGCTCTGTCCAGGTCCATATAATACCCTTCAGCTGCAGGTTTTCATGATTCTATGTTTTTTTTAAAGAGTGCAATGCCTTCATGTGTGACACTTCAAACCTGAATGCTCACAGGCCACCAGCCAGTGAAAAAAATCAAGCGGAGGGAGGGGGACAAAGGAACAAAAATGTGAGTGTCGTTGAGAATTTGTTTGTTTGCAACAGATTGTAAAATGTGTGAAGTGCCTGAAATCTTCAGCACGTTGCTTAATGCAGCAGAATATGTTGTGATGGGTTTTAACAAGCACTGCCCAGCATGGAGTGGCAGAGCTGCAGTGAAGTGGCTAAAGCCTGTAATTAGCTCTTTGACTAATAAATCATCTTGTAGTAGCAACAATGAGAATGACTCAAATGCATATCTGGGAGACATGAATTTCATGGAGAAAAGTCCTGAGGAGCAGTGTGAGGAGACTAGCACTGCACATAGACATGGCTCCTGCCATATGCCAGTGTTTGATCCTAAGACCAGCACCGGGGAGGGTGACACCACTGTGACACCCACAGGCTTGCTGGGAATGGGGTTACTTACTGGTCCTACACTGCAAATGGGGGAGTGAAAGTGGACAGAGGCAAAGAGACTAACCAGAGGTCATGCTGGAGGAAGGCTAGACTCAAGCCTTCAGCTTATCACCCTTCCTTGGACCCAATACATGTTGGCAATCATCAGACTGTTTATATGGGTCTTTAAAAGTCCCATCACCAAGACCCCACATAATAACCTTAACTCTCAGTGTTGACATGAACGCCTGGCCCTTTGAAGCCCTTTTGGATGCACACAAGAATCACAGAATCATCACAGAATCATTCTGGTTGAAAAAGATCTGTAAAATCCCTGAGTCCAACCATCAACCTAGTGCTTCCAAGTCCACCACCATGTCCCCCAGCACCATAGATACATGTCTTTTAAATATCCCAGGCATGGTGATTCAACCACCACCTTGGGCAGTCAGTTCCCATGTTTGAAAAAGTATGTGGCCACATCCATGAAAAGGATGTGACACGGGGCAGATACGGGCAGGTTAAACTGATAAGAATGCCCGTGGGTCATGGCTAAGGTGCTTCAGCATGGCCAAATGCTGGGATCCAAGGAGAGAAGAAACTACAGTGTGGTGACACCAGCCAGCCTAAAGTTCAGAAAGGACAGTTTGCAAGCTACCAGCCAGCCTTTCTTGGACTGTGACTGGAGTCAGGTGTGCATTAAGGTAAGAAGGGC